AACACCGAGGAGGAGGAGGAGGACAATAGAATTGAGGAAGAAGAGGAGATGAGTGAGATGGAGAAAAGGAGAATTCAGGAAGAAAAGTGGAAGAACAAGAGATGGAGGAGGCAGAGATATGGAAAGAAAGAGATGACGAAGGAAAAGAAGGAGAAAAGGATTGAGAAAGAGAAGTCAAAGAAGGAGAAAAGGATTGAGAAAGAGAAGTCAAAGAAGGAGAAAAGGATTGAGAAAGAGAAGTCAAAGAAGAAGAGACAGAGGGGAAGAAAAGTAAAATAACGAAATGGGACATGATAAATGAGGAGGAGAATGTCAAGAAGGATGTAGAGAAATTGAAGAAGGAGGAAGAGGAGGATGTGGGGTGTGGTGTGGTGGAGTTTGTCATATAAACGGGTGAAGGGATGTTTTTGATTGTTGTTGAATTGTAAATAAACATTGTAAAACTCAAATACTGTCCTCGTCATTTCTTTCACCTTTTTTATTTTCATGCTTTCTCTCCTTTTATTCTGATAGAGGCGATCTGGTAATATGTGTTTGTTTAATATTCACCTACTTTGCAAAAGCAGTTGACAATTAATCCTCTCACATGTTTTTAATTGTGGTTTAATTAATAATTCGATGTTGTGATTTGCACTAGATTAGCTTGTCTGCTGGTGTCAAAATGTGAATAGTGTTGCTTACATAAAGTTTATATTAAAGCTTTATAAATAAAGTTATGATCAGCAGCTCCCTTCAGAGATGTAGAAATCTTGTATCTTCTATTCTGCTGTAGGGGTTTATGCCGTTGACAAACACAGGGCACTTTTTTGTCATTATTTGTTCACCATAAAATATTAAAACATGTTTGAGTAGTGTGAATTTGTGCTGCAAAAAAAAAATAATAATATTAACAATAATAATTTGGCGGTCCTCCAGATTATTGTCTGCTGAGATGTTGTAGGCTTCTGTCTCATATAGTAAACATTTATATTTTCATGAATATTTCAAAATAAAAAATGGCCAAAAAGTATATTTGCTCAATAAATTTAGCAACAAATTGAAAAATGCATTTTTACAAATGCATAGACCATTTTTAACATTTAAAATATATTTTACCCTCCATATATTTCAATCCTAAAAGATACATTCATGTAACATTAAGAAAATCATTATTTCCACATCAACCAATCAACATAGTCTACTTAAACATACATCATATATATGTTCAAAGACTTCCGAAATGTATTTTATCGAACAGCACAAATACAATTTACATTTCAAATACTTTTTGGCCAGGAAAAAATATAATTGACTGTATGGGGAATGACTTTTTGAAAACGTTCATAAAAGATAAAAACAATAATCTAGCTAGTGAGCTTATGTCTTTAAGAGAAAAAAATGTTTCTTTTTTCAATTCATTTTTATGTATTTATTGTCCTGTCGTGACGTCGGTAGTGCCATCGTGCATGATGTCAGTCTAGAATTCAAGATTTGAAAGTCACTGGGAAAATCAAAACTGGAAGCTCTTCTTTTTTATCAGCCTGTATTTTTATAATGCTTGATCAGATTATCTTCCCCTATTTCATGCAATAATGTTTACCATTACTTTTCTCTTCTTTATATATTCACGAGCAATGCATGCTTTCAATTTGCCATGATAGCAGGGCAATAAATGCCATTCACATGTCATCAATCAATAGCAAACAGCGTGTTTACGGGTGAGTAAATGATAAAAGAATTTTTCATTTTTGGCTGAACTATCACTTTACTGACAGCAATTTTAAAGGGCATCTATGATGAAAATCCTCTTTTTGAAGCTGTTTAGACAGAACTGTGTTTAGATATGTTTCCACTGTCATATCGGGGTGATACAAAGACAATAAGTCTCTTTTTGTTAATTTTCCAACATTAAAATAGAATCCAAATCCCTCCCATTTTGAGGCCCACTGCAACGTGACGTAGGAGTGCGGTTTTCTCCACCCAATTATTTGATTGACAGCTCCGTATTAACATGTCTCTGTAGTAACGCGTATAATCTTTTCAACAAGACAGGATGTGCGCAAAGCAACTGGGATTAAAAGATCTGTTCAGTTCTCTGTGATCATCAATCATCATCAAATGTGATTAAGAGTGAGTTTTACAAGATTAAAACATTTTGAAAACCGTCTTTATCACCACAGCTCCATGTCAATACAATTATAAAAGAAGATGCTTCAATCCTGGATTGTGGACTTTAAATCAGGTTTATTTTGTACAGTAACATCACGGATATCCATACAGCGGTGAATATTAACATGTATCCTGTATGTCACATTTGCAGTTTAAAAACAGTGCAAAGTTGAACATGCGCACTGTGTGTGTGTTTGTGTGTGTGCATGTGTTCACTGTGTGTATGTGCATGAACTTTGTAATGACATTGTGTGTAACTCATCATTGCAGAAAGGCTTGAACTCCACAACAAATAATCATTGGGAAAGTTCCTACTGTAGTATTTCTCACAACAGTAGGAACTTTCCGCTGGATTAATAAAGGGACTAAGCCGAAAAGAAAATTAATGAATGAATATTGGAGTTACCTTTGCATGCTAAAATCTGCAAAGGAAAATAATTGAGGTCAGTATCACAAGCTCTCTGTTTCTCTTTCTCTAAAGAAGTGACATGTATCAAATAATTTTCTTTAAATTCTTTTTAGGCTAATAAATACAAGCAGATATAATAGCTGCAAATAAATTATTTTAAACTGTACAGGCTGTGGCGGTGCGGTGGCGCAGTAGGTAGTGCTGTCACCTCACAGCAAGAAGGTCACTGGTTCGAGCCTTGGCTGGGTCAGTTGGTGTTCACTGTTAGACCTTACCAGGCTTTTTTACAGTAGAATACTGGCAACACTGTTGCCAGCTACTTACTGTAAAAGTTTGGTTACAGTAAGTAGCTGGCAACAGTTAGGTCTGCACAGTAAGGCTGTGGTCACACTAACGTTTGAGCATGCGAAATTCTGTGAATGGAAGTCTATAGGGAGAATAGTGCAGTGTGACCGTGACTTTAAGCTTTAACTCTGATTAAGCACACCTAATCAAATTAATTAAGGCTTGTTAGAAATCTACAGGTAATGTTGAAGCAGGGTGGGTACATAACTCTGCTGCGCTGCAGTCCTCCAGGAACTGAGTTTGACCTCCATGGTATATAGCATACTTTTAAAGCAACTACCAACATTTATCGCAATCACATATCCAATAAAAAAATAAATAAAATAATTAACAAACTCAATCTAAAAAATTATTGTAAAAAATTATTAAAAAATCGGTCAACACTGGTCCTCATGTGGCTCCAAACCTGTAGGAGTAATAAAAAACAAAACAAATCATTTCTGCATACATATAAGAAAGTGTTTGTGCTATAAATTCCACTTTTACTTACTTTATTTGAAGTTTTTCAGTCAACTGTTTTTCAGCCACAGCAAAAATGTATGTAAGTGCTGTTAAGGGGGAGATGTTTAAACACATTCTTAGTTATTTAGCAAGATACTAATATTCAGCTTCCATTGCAATATAGGAGAAGGCTTAACTAGGTTCATTAGGAAAAGTAAACACAGTTATAAGAAATGCTGACATTTTTTTTTTTTACTTTTTTAAACATCATGGGATAAATTTGAAAAACAATTAAAATTTCAAAGACTGAATAATTTTGCCTTTAAATGTATGTCATTCATATATAATACTTACCTTTGAATAAGCTCTATTGTGGCAATACTTGACTTCTGAAATAGGTTTAAAACATAAAAGAAACAAAAAACACAAACGCGAGCATGCACACACACACACACACACACACCCACACAGAAAGAGCTGCAGTGAAATGTGTTACTCTCTCATCAATACTGAACATGTATAAAAAACTGAACAGCAAAAAAAATAAATAAATAATAATAATTAATTTTTTTTAAGTTTTTTTTATTTTTTAAGTTTCAAATAATTATAAAAAATAAGCTTATCAAAAGAACACACACATACTTTAGATATGGATGGAAACATGTTTGTCAAAGCCGCAGCCGAATCTCCCATCTGTCAGTGATCGTCATCTTCGTGCCATGATCAGTCCCCTAATCCTCATCGCTTCGCTAGTGTCTGAAGGAAAGGCGCGTTCACATTTTACCGGATCTGAACCTACATATTTGGTGATGTACCGTATTGATGTCGACGCATTCAAGCAAAAGATCCGAACCCAACACGATTCATTTATTCAACTTTGGGCTGACTATTTTGTTAAAGAATCAATAGTTTTAAACCTGGTGCATTTTCAGATTTAAACCTCAGCTGGGTGTTTCATTAGTGCTGTGCTCCACACTGCATAAAAGATCATTCAGTTTCATTTGGAGTTTCTGTGCTAGCCTGCTGATCCTGAGGGCGTTAGCACTTTCCCTTTTGTTTTTAGCTCGTTTTACACTGGAACAACTAAATTAATGTAATTTTACAACATCAATGATGTAAAAGAAATCTCATGAAATTAAAAATGGTTATTAATACTTTGTTTTTAAATAGAAATATGCCCCTTGTTAAAGTAAATAAGCCCCAATCTCTCGGTACAGGGGGTAAATTTTGCATTTCAAAAGAAATAACTTTCTGGCCCTGGCCACGACCTACCGTATATCATTGGTTTTTCTCCACACCCCCACCCACTGCCATAATCTGTCGTCCCAGCAACAAAATCCCGCCCCTGAAGAATCCATACCATTAAAACAGGAACTCAGCTCAAGCATGTGCAGCCCAGAGTAAAAATAAAACAATAAAAATAGTGGAAGTCATAGTAAAACTGCCCGACTTTGTCTTTCTCTTTTTGGAAAAGAACTTTTTTTTGTTTCAAGTTTAACCAACTTCCTAAAAACATGTGTTTTCTGCAGAAACTGGAGGAGGAGATGTTGTCAGACAGGGCTGTGATTGGCTGGAATTAATGAGAGCGAGACGTCATCATGAGTGAGCGCTTCAGACCCCGCCCCTTATTGTGAACTGTCTGCGCTCTCCGTTTATTTGTCCAATATGTGTGTGTGTATGAGTGTGTCTGTGTGAGAGACTGAGAAGAACGTGCAACATACTTTTAACAGACATTAAAACTACAAACAGATTTAGATGCTAACCGTCAAGCCAACATGGACTTTTGAATGGGATTTATAAACTGCTTGAACTCAGAAAGATGGAGGTCGGTATTATTATTATTATTCATTTTTAAATCCTCTCATCTTCTTTCTGATGTGTGTTCAGACTTTCAGAATGAGTAGAAATGTTCAGAGAAAGCTTCAAGCGTGCTGTCAGGGTTTCAAACAAGATCCGGGTTTATTTTGTTCTCGCCGGTAAGCAACTGCTGGGTTTTCACCGTTCAGATGCGCTGTCAGCCGGTAACCCTTGCCCTCAGTCTCGCTCACAGCCCTAAATTTGCTGTGAAATGTGATGCCGCGAAGCCTGAGAGTGAAAGGAAGAGAGAATATATGGCACTTTATGACTGTCGTTAACACGAGCTGGGCTTTTGAAAGGAGAGGTTACAGCTTTAAGCGAGGAATGAAATCTCTGTTGTTGTAGGTGGATTTTTGGTAGGTTAACAACACTTTTGCTGTTGAATGAATGAAAAAAATCCTGGCTCTTTTTGGTGTATTTTGTGGTGTTGGTAGTGGTTTGTGTGTGTCGAAGTAAAGAACTTAGTGATAGTTCACCTTAAAATAAAAAATTTACTCACTATTTAGCTGACATCTTATTTAATTGAGCTATTTATTGAAAGAAACAAAAGTCCAGGATATATATATATATATATATATATATATATATATATATATATATATATATATATATATATATATATATTACTTTCTTAATATTTTGTGGTGTGTGTATGAGGAGTGAAGAACTTAGTGATAGTTCACCTATAAATAAACATTTCTCACTATTTATTCTCCCTCAAATGGTTCCAAACCTGCAAATTATGTTGAACTAAAGCAGGGTGTGAATTACAGGGGGGTTTGGAGGGGATTGAGTACATCAAAACAAGTTATATGAGGGGAGGGGGGATTATTAATATTTTTAATAATTAAATGTATAATCACATACATTTGATCTCTATAATGGTGTATACCATTGTAAATGCATTATCGCACCAGTCAATGCTAGGAGAAATATCATTCAGACACATCATTTCTATAGTTTGACTTACAGTGGCCTTTAAAATAGTCACTAAATATCCCTCAAAACACTGAAAATGAAGTAAATTAGATGTAATTTATTAATTTGATTCACTGAAGCATGTGTTCCCCCCACCCCTACCCCAATCGTCAATGTATAATTCACACACTGCACTAAAGAATATCTCATGAAAAAAAGCTGAAAACCTGTCACTATTGACTTCCATAGTATGAAAAGATAATGGTTACAGGTTTTCAGCTTTCTTGAAGTATGTTTTTTTTGTGTGTGTGTGTTCAACAGAAGTAAGAAATTCAAACATGAACAAGTGAAGGGAGAGTATTTCCAGTTTTTGGTGACCTGTCTCTTTAATATTGCTGATTTGTGATTTTCATTTGTGACTTTGACCACGGCTGTGGTTTGTGATTTCACGCATGTCTTGCTCAAAGCCAGAATCAGTAAGAAGATCACAACAGGTGGCTAAATATTTTGCCCAGTATATGACATGCTGAGAGTATCAAGTGCAATTTTGCACAGTAAATGAAAAATCTGTTTATTAGCACTGTATTATTTTCAACAAAGATTTTTTTTTTTCGTGTGTATTTATACATTTACTTGCACTTTTGAAATGATCAGGCCATGATATCTGTTTCTAAAACTTTGAAGCATGAAGAAGAAACTTTGAAGAACAGATTTATAGGTTTATGAACCGCCTGTCCATTCTTTATTTTATGGATTTCTTAAGTGTAAATCTAAGATTTAGGGAAGCTATGTGAATTTATTTTATGAAATATGTTTTTTCTCTTGCTCTCCAAAGCTGCATTTTCTTTCAAAGTGCATTGAAACATTAATAGTGTCAATTATTTACTATTACTATTTAGGAAACTATTACTTAATGGAAAAAATGATGACTTATTATTATCTTATAATATTATCAAATAATATCTTATTTGAAACTTTAATGAAAAATTATCAGACCTTTATAAAAAAATTGACTCAAACCCAAACATGACTACATGAATAAAAGAAGTCACTCACTCACTCACTCACTCACTCACTCACTCACTCACTCACTCACTCACTCACTCACTTTCCTTTAGCTTATTCCCTGCTTTATCAAGGGTCGCTACCGAATGAATCGCTAATTTCTCTGACATACATCTTTATCGACAGATGTCCTTCCATTTGCAACCTAGCCCTGAGAGTACAGTAATTCTAAGTATACTAAACCTTCAGTGCTGGAAAACACCTACACATTCTCTTATTCACACAATACTGCCAGTTTAGTTTATCCAATTCTACCAATCCAAACACTCCAAGGTTACCGATCCAAATGAAGTTACATTGCATGTGTTTGGCCTGTGGGGGAGACAGAAGGAAACCCACACATACACTGGAACACATGCAAACTCCACACAGAAAGGCAGCCTTCTTGTTGTTAGGGAACTATGCTGACCACTTAGCCACCATGCCGCCTAAAATGAGAAGTATAGTCATATAGAAAAATGACACATAAATAGCTGTATACATGAGCATATACGTAGATATGTAAAACATAATTGTTACTATTTCTTACATTTTGAACGATTCAATGCAGCTTTTTCCGCATTAAATAATTAATTTCTTACAAAATCAAAAAGAAGAAGTCTTACTAGATCTAAAGCTATTAATGTTGCTTCTGTATTATATTTCATATGTCTTACTTCCAGGTTTTTCCCTCACTTGACCTTTTGGCCATTTCTGCGATCTTCCTTATACTGTTTATTTTAATGGTTTGTGATGTAGCGTGACAGATATCAGTTGTGAAATCACACCCACAGACCGACTTGATTCCACTCACATGATTCCAACAAGGGAATAAGGCTCATGTCATTCATTCAAGCTTGATCAAATGGAAAGTTACTTTAACAAATGGCCCTAAAAAAGTGGTTCCCCTCAACCAAAACTGAAACATAAGTTATTTAACTTATGAACACCCAACAATAAATTAGTTTAAAAGTTTCATCCAACATTTAGGTTAGTTCATGTCTGACACAAATTTACTTGAAACAACCTAGTGTTTGTTTGATTAGACCTTTTACCATGATTTAAACTGAAAAAATGCTGTTTGTTCAAACTATTTATTTAAAATAAGCTGAAACAACTCAATTTTTGAGTTTTTTTTTAGGAGAACTTAGTTATTTATGTTCAATCTACCTAAATTTGTAAAAACTAATAAGGTAACTTAATTCATTTATGTTGTCCCAACACAAATCGATTGTGTAGAACCCATAATTTTTTTACTGTGTACAGAAGACACGACCCAATAAAAATACTTAATTTAAATAAGTAAAAAGAATCATATTTAAAGGCACTACAGTGCAGCCCTATAATACTAATTAAATACTAATTAAAACCTTAATATTAATAATTAATAATAATTCCTTACATTAATATAGTGCTTTTCTGGACTCTAAAAGCGCTTTACACATTTTTGGGAGGAATCTCCTCATCCACCTGGATGACACGAGGGCAGCCATATTGCGCCAGACAGCACAAAGTGATGAAGCCAATTATGATATGGGGGATGGATATGGCCATGATGGACAGAGGATTAAATCCCTACTTTTTTCGATAGAGGATAGACATCATAGGATTTCAACAACCCAGAGAGTCAAGACCTCGATCTAATGTCTCATCCCAAAGACAACGCTCACTGAGCAGTATAGAGTCCCCCTCACTATACTGGGGCATTAAGACCCATACAGATCGCAGGTTGAGCACCATCTCCTGGTCTCACACCACTTCCGGTAGCAACCTAGCTTTCCCATGTGGTCTCCCATCCAGGTTCTGACCGGGCTTTGCCACTGTCCTTCAAATCACTACGTTTTACCCATTTTCCCGCAAGAAGATCTGAATAATTAAAAATAAAATCAAATTAAGCACGATCACTCGTTCTTTTACATCATTTACATTGAACACACATTAGACTAAATATATTGTTTGATTTCTGCACAAACGTATCTGTTGTGTTGATTGAATGATGATGAAACATTAATTAGAACCAGTATTTTGAGATTTTATTTTTTAGAAATGTCATTTAAAACATTCAACACTTTCATTTAGTATGTCTTAGATAAGAAATGATATTTGTAAATTTGTTTTGAGACAAGTGTCCTAGATGCCCTGCAGCTATAGATGTCAAAATGTGGTTGAAATGAAAAAGCAGAAGGAAGGAAGGAAACCAGTCTCTGACGAATCAGGAAAGAGAAAAAAAATAAGCACTATAAAACAGTCCACTCATCAGCCCTCACTGACCTCATCCCTTTATTTACAATATTTCATAATCATGGCTCCCATAATCTGCTGTGTATCTTTATGTTCAATCATCTAATTAATATTGTGCGTAGATAAATGCATTTCCTGTGAAAGATTTCAAAAGCCTGAAAGAGGAACTTGTCAGTCAAAGCATATCTTAACAACTGTCCATCATTATTAACTCCTTAACCCTCCCTGAAATAAAGAAATAAACAGAGTGCATGTGAATATACAGCTCTCAGGAAATCGTCTCTGAGAAACCAGACTTGTATAAATGATATCATCACTGACACAGGAAATACCAAGGGAGTTTAAGTTGTAAATTTATTTGTTTGCAACGAGGGCAAGTTAATGTTCGCTGACCTACTTCTAACCACAACCTAAAGCTGGTCACCGGTCTAAACCGAGTATACAGCTGATGATGTGTTAGCAAGTTGTACATATTTGCATTTTAAATGTGCTGTGGATTTGCCCAAATATGGAAATCAAAATATTGGTATTGTGTTATGAATATAAATGCTATGAGCTGGTATCAAACTATCACAAGAGATGGTGAACACTGGCTTTACTGTGAAAACTTTTGTTAACTTTTTTTCCTATCTGACTTGCTAATGAATCAGATTTTCTTCACAGTGGTTCCTATTAGTCACAGATTGTCAAAGTCATGATGAAAGTAGTGACGATTTCTTAGGTGATGTAACATTTTATCTGAGTTATGAAAAAGTAATTCTGCCT